CGAAAGGGGCCCCCCGGAGAAACCAAGGGGGCTTTTTACCCTGGTTTTCCAAAAAACAAAAAAATTTTTTTGGAAATGACCCCCCCCTTTGGGCCCTTTCCCCAGCCCCCGGGATTTTTTTTTTCCCCCCCCCCCCCCTCAGACCTGGTTCCGGGGAAACCCGGGCGTGTTCCTCCCCGGTTTTTTGGGGATGGGGGGTCAAGGTTCCCAGGATTCCGGCATGCTGGATATAGGGGCCCCCCCCCCCCCCCCCCCCTTGCCTCTGATTCTCGGGGCCTGGCTGCCGCTCCTGCGGCTGCTGCTGCGGCTGCCGCTGCGGCTTCGGTGTGGGACAACCATGACCGTTAGGCGCCCCCGTGATGGTTCTGGCTCTTGGAGTCTAGCTACCGCTGCTGCTGCGGAATGAGCGCTACTCGCCCCCGTCTTTCTGATTCTCGGGGTCTGGCTGTCGCTGCTGCTGTTGCGACGGCGGCGGCGAGGGAGAAGGCGGAGGGGACTGCTCCAGGTGGTGCTTCGTTTCCTCCTCGATAATCTTGTCCTTGTCTCGCAACATTCCCCCCATCCCCCCTTGGTAGCTGCCGCGTTTAGTGGCCACCGCAGCGCCAGGTTGCTGCGCCGGTACCACCGTGGTGGAGTACGCCTGGGGGGGGGGGGGGGGGGATTTCCAAAGGGGGGGTTTGTTTCTGCCCTGTCCCTAACCCCCCCCTCAAGTTTTTTCGGGGGAAAATTTTCACAAAACCCCCTTTTTTAAGTGGCGGCCGGTTTTGGGAAACAGCCCCCCCCGGGAACGAACGGGAAAAAACCACTACCCCTTGGTGTCAACGGGATGGGACACCAAAAGGGGGTCTACCCGGGCTGATGCCCGCTGAAACCCAACGGGGGGGGGGGGGTCAAAACTGCCCCCACCCCCCCCCAACCAAAAAATCCCTTTTGGGGTGCCAACAAAATTTCACCCCAGGCCCCCCTAAAGGGGGGACCAAAAAAAAAAAATTTCCCCCCCCCTTCCAGGGAGTCCCCCCCCCTTGGAGCCTTTCGTCCCCCCAAGGGCAAAAAGGGGAGGAAAAAGGGGGGGAAAAAAAAAAAAAGAAGGGGAAACCTTTTCCCCACCTTTTCCCCCCTTTTGGGGGGCTGGAAGCCCCGGGGGCCCCCGGTCCCCCAAAAAAAAAAATGGGCCCAAAAAAAAGGGTTC